CCGTCCCCTGCTTGCTTGCTGCAGCTGCTGGTCCATGGAGATTTCTCTTTCTCCCTACCTGCTCGTCGGCCGAGCGTCGACGGTGGAGCAGGGGGGCCAGGGGGCAGAGGCGGAGGCCGGACCCGACGACGCGGTGCTCTTCTTCGGGGTGTCCCTCGTGCTGGGCATCGCCTCCCGCCACCTCCTCCGCGGCACCCTCCTCCTCGTGCTGATTCCCGTTCGTGTTGCGTTTGCGTTTGCATGGGCCGCCATTAATCCCGATCTCCTCCTGGCCGTCTTCCTGCCCGCCCTGCTCTTCGAGAGCTCCTTCTCCATGGAAGTGCACCAAATCAAGGTACTACAACGGTCCTTTTTTCTGTCTCTCACTCAGATTAAGGGTTGACTCAGCTGAACAGACAGTCAGTTTCTTTTTTCTTCTTCCGTCTGTCAGATTAAGGTTTGAGTGTTTGACTGAATATATAACTATTTTTATTATCCAGAAACATAGTCAGCTTCTCGTTCAGTATACCATGTAGTGTATTATGGGGGTCTGGATGGATCTGTTGTTATTCTTTCCTCTTCTGAATTCTCATACTACTAAAGAAAAATGTTCTCTCTGCAGAAATGCTTGGCGCAGATGGTGCTGCTTGCCGTTCCAGGTGTGGTCATGTCAACGTTTTTGCTTGGCAGCCTTGTCAAGGTACTTGTGCTACTCGGATCCGGACCTGGGCCGTCCTACTCCCCTCCGTCCGGAAATACTTGTCCTAGAAATGGATAAAATGGATGTATCTATAACTAAAATAACTCTAGATACAACCATTTCAAGGACAAGTATTCCCGGACCGAGGGAGTAACATTTGGGAAAATAATTCACCTTCTCATACTGGCTTGTTGACTTGCCACAGTTTACTTTTCCGCACGACTGGAACTGGAAAACATCCTTCTTATTTAGCGGGCTGCTCAGCGCGACCGACCCCGTCGCTGTCGTTACGCTCCTAAAAGACCTTGGAGCAAGCAAAAAGCTCAGCACAATTATCGAAGGAGAATCGCTAATGAACGACGGGTATGCGTGCTACTGTGACCCGCAGATGTTGCTCCTCTGTCTTTTATTGGGAGCACCATGTACAATTATAGGATTGTTATTGTTTTGGACTGCGTTCTTATCTTTTATTGGGAGCACCATGTACAATTATAGGATTGTTATTGTTTTGGACTGTGTTCTTACTAATAAATGACCTTGCATTCTACAGGACTGCTATTGTTGTCTATCAGTTATTCTATCGAATGGTGCTCGGAACAACTTTTGATGCGGGGCTCCATAATAAAGTTCTTGTCACAAGTTTCGCTTGGAGTGTGCGTGAATAGCTTATAAGCCTGAGATAGCCTGAGATAGATGATGCAAAACCATGCTACTAATGCTAATCACTATCTTCTTTAACCAGTGTTGCTGTCGGCCTCGCGTTTGGAATTGCATCAGTTGTATGGCTGGGCTTTATTTTCAATGATACTATCATAGAGATCTCACTTACTCTCGCCGTCAGCTACATCGCTTTCTTCACTGTAAGATAATCAGACAACGAACATATCGAAGCTCTCATATTTCTGTTTGTTTCTTCCTTTTCGTCTATGTTACATGATTTGCTCATTGTTTTGGAGTAGTTAAATAGTTAACTGCCTGGAATAATTTCTAGTTCCAGTCATAGAATGATTATCAAGTCACCCTTTTTGCAACATTAGGATGCTGTTTTACTAGTAAACTGAAGTGGCTTATAGTCTTCTAGATATGCACATAGCAATATCCCTACATGATTTTGAAGTCACAGAACTGGACAGAGCATCATGAATTTCGTAAGATACAGTTATTTGGTTTAAACAAACATTACATTTTTTAGGGTATATTAGAGGATTCATGTTGGAATCAAAATTCTGTTACTAATTGTACTTCTGATTCTTACTTCAACTAACTTGGGGGATGTTTGGTGAGCTAACTTAATGTATGTCGTGAGAAAGAACATTCATTTAGTCTTGTAAACATCTGGAGGAACAGGATTCCAGATTTTTGATATACCAAGAAATGGTTCGATTGCTATTTTTTGAACTTGTCCGATTATTTTACTTTCTTTCCAGCCTTTGAACCTATTGGCTGTGCACCATAAAAATGAAGTTCTGTCAATTTTGTTTATTCATGATTGGAGCCTGTTGTTGCTTGTGCATGACTTGTTTTTTCTCTCATATCTGCTGCAAGACAAATTGCAGCTATAAGTCTGAATATAGACTTACTCCCTCCGTTCCATAATTCTTGTCGTGGTTTTAGCTCAAAATTGGGAGAACCATTTAAGATGTGATACTGATCAGTCCCCTAGTGTTTTTTTGGGGACTATTTTCTATACTAATATTGTTCATATCAGGCACAAGATCAATTGGAGGTCTCTGGTGTTTTGGCCGTCATGACCTTGGGGATGTTAGTAAAACTTGTCTTCACATTCTTATTTGCATATCCTTTGTTGCCTTCCCTACAATATTAACTGTCATGTCGGCAGGTTCTATGCTGCTTTTGCAAAAACTGCTTTCAAGGGTGACAGCCAGCAAAGTTTACATCATTTCTGGTATGGTCAAGCAATAATGTCACTTTTTATTGTCAGGAAAGATCAAAATCCTCAGCATATGATCAACCTTAGTACTCCTAGTCAAATATATTAGTTTATTCTCTGTTTCTGTTCCTCATATAACCCATCAATTCCATGAAGGAATACATTTACATTTAACCAATTGCCAAGTTTGTACCAGCCAGTTGGTTGTCTACCTGTTGCTAAACTCCGGATTCGTATAAATATTAGTTAATGACCATGTAAGTTCATCATCAATGCCCTGAAATGGCAATCACAGCTTATATCGGATTCTCTAAATACCAAAATAAGTTTCATGAAAAAATTATACCCTAAAACAATGTCTATTTCTTTCGTAGAGACATGGTATTAATCTCCAGGGCATTGTTATAGAATGTAGATTGTGATCCTTCTGTTCACCGTAATTAGGCATTACTATGAATTCTCATTTACGCCATCATATAATGAAATTATTGATACTGTTCGAGTGTCTTTGTAATGAGAAAAAATCTATGAGTGCCTAAGTGCAAAACCCTGTTAAATAATGTGTACTCTACCTGATGGGCCACACATCAAGTCTCCAGTTCATGCTAGATTTTCTTTCTACATTTTGTTAGATATGTGAATTTTATGTCTGATTGCTGATTTTGCTTGTATTCAGGGAAATGGTTGCTTACATCGCAAACACGCTTATTTTCATTCTGAGGTATGAACAACTTTGACCATTTCTACATGTCGCAAAAAATAATTCCTGATATTTCTGTTTTTGCCTGACTAAACTAGACCATGCTTGCTTTTGTTTGGTATGAATAATGTTTCATACATCTGAACTCCCTTCAGTGGCGTTGTTATTGCAGATGGTGTACTGCAAGATAATTTTCATTTTGAGAGGCATGGTATGAATCTTCATTTATCTTTTTCCTTTTCATTTACCAAAAAAAAGCGCCATGTAATTGCTACTAGTCTTTCACAATCTTTATGTTTGTTTTCGTCTGTTATGTATGAAGTTGTTTCACCACTGATCATGAATCATGATATTGAAAAAAATATAATAAAACATAAAACCACATATATTTGGAGTTTGAGCCTTGAAGTAATGTGCACGTTGTTGAGCTTCTGCACCGAGGGGAATATAAAGTCGGTGGAATGTATTGACTCCATCAAACCTCCATTTATTTGATTTAAGCATGGACAAAACCGTAAAGTAGAACTTTCTTACTCGAGAACACTAGCAGGTAAGAATCTAGAGGTTCTTTTAAAAAGTAAAAGTAGTCACGTAAAGTCAATCAGGTTATGCTTTTACCATTTAGGGCATGAGCAATGGTAGCACTAGAATGGTGTGGTTTCAAGTAGTCCACATAGTTAAAGTTAAATGAAGCTATTGGTTTGTACCACACTCATCCAATGCAAGCTACTCCCTATGATATCATCATCTTTTGCTCCTTTTCTCTTTACCCTCTCTTCCAGCACCTGCCACCTCCCCTCCCTGTGAGAAATCCTTCTCTCACTTACCTTTTTCAGCCGGGGATGCAGCCTCCTCTGTAGGATCCCACTTTGGTTTTGAGGCTATAGCTTTTATGCCAACGCATCATCCGAGCCGAGTTGGCACATGGGGCATCACCCTCGAGGCAGCGCATTGGCCATGCCCTTAGGCTTTGGGTATTGCCCATCTGGGTAATGTGATGTCATGATAATATTTAATACTAGACTTCCTCGTATCAAAGGGGCAAGTTCTTCTGCAATGGTACAATTTAGTTCCTGCACAGAAGCAAACAAGACATATTCTTCTGCAAATACTTGTAACTTTTATTTGATGGGAGAATCTTTTTTTTCTCAGTGTATAGAAAAAAATGGATTCAGTATTTTATCAACAGTGACTTCTTTTTGGATTTGAATATTTTCATCCTTTTTTTGGGAGGTTGAGAACATAGTTGCACCTAAAGGGTGGGCATACCTGATATATTCTCCCACTATATTACGAGCTTGATTCGAACCCATCTTTGTGTTGTGCGAATAATTTTCTTATCTTATGCTATGTTAGGCACATCATGGGCGTTCCTTCTTCTGCTCTATGCGTTTGTGCTAGTATCACGGGCTGTAGTTATCAGTGTTTTATATCCATTGTTGCGCCAGTTTGGGTATGGTATGGATGTCAAAGAAGCCGCCATTCTTGTTTGGTCAGGGCTGCGAGGGGCTGTTGCCCTATCACTCTCTCTGTCTGTTAAAGTAAGTTATTTTCCTGCACCAATGCCATCGACCCTCACTCATCTCTTGTTACCATTATGTGCATATTGGTGTACATCATTTTTCAAAAGTAATAATCTACCGTATATATTTATGAGATCTTTACTGAAATACTTTTACCAGCGTGCTAGTGATTCAGTTTAACCTTATCTGAAACCAGAAGTCGGAACAATGGTATGTGCTTTCCTTTTTCCTAAAAACTATGTTTTAAAGTGTATATGTGGATTGCCTAGCCCTTTCCATCAGTTCAGACTTTTGGTTGCGTTGGCTAGCACATGAAGCTTAACACTATGAAATATTTACTTTGAGCTTTGCTGATCTTATAAATCTTTTGCAGTTTGTGTTCTTCACTGGTGGCATCGTGTTTCTGACATTAATTTTGAATGGGTCTATCACACAATTTTTGTTGCGCCTGCTTGGTCTGGGAAAATTATCAGCAACGAAGGTTAGCTTTACAAATTATGATCTGTATCTTGGGATTAAAGGTGTTGCTTGACTGTACATTTGCATGCTTCACTAACCTTTTGAGCTAGTTGAAAAGGTTCTTGATTGAATTGGCTCAAATAATGAGTGAACCGGTGTTAAATTCTGCAAATATTTTGTTCCAATATCTATGAGCTCAAGCATATAGTGGTGAATTGATTGCTTACACAAATAGTGAGGCTAAGCTAAAAGTACTAGCACGCCTGGCAAAGTATTAAGAAGATAACATGATACACAGGTCTTTTGTCCCCACGAAATAAACCCACAAGATTTGGTCCGCTCCACAGGGGTCAAACACATGTCAGCACAAAGATGCTACGCTTCTTAGGATGTGTTGATTATTGTCCTGAAGTTTACACTGGGTATCTAGTCTCCATTTGTGAACTTCACATGTTAAATTACGAGAAAAGAAATAACATTCTCTCTTTTGGTTGAACCCCCTAGAACCCTTGTAGTAAAACCTCTTCTTTAAAAAATACATAAAGGGTCCATAAATTTGCTGTGGTTGATATCTGTAATCAGAAAAAAAAAGTAATTTTGTGTTATATATGATTGATGAATATGAAGTAGCATAGTTATGTTCTCTTTGTGCTCCAAGTTCTAATCTGATTTCCTGCAACTGTAGCTCCGTGTATTGAAGTACACACGATATGAAATGCTAAACAAGGCATTGGAGGCTTTTGGTGATCTCAGGGATGACGAGGAACTTGGGCCTGCTGATTGGATTACAGTGAAGAAGTATATCACATGTTTGAATAACTTGGAAGATGAACAAGCACATCCCCATGATGTTCCAGACAGGGATGATCACGTACATACCATGCATTTGAAGGTTACTCGTGTGCGGCTTTTGAATGGTATGCAATATCATATGTTTGAAGCACTAAATCTGAAACAAAGTTCATCAGATATGTCTATGCATGCTGAGTGTGTTTAAGTAGGTCAGAGAATGGAAAATATTCCAATAACTGCACACTTATTTACTCGATGGATAAAAGATTTTGAAACAGATCGTTCTGAGGCCAATAATGGTGAAATGGAGGGAGCAAACACTATTAGCGTAAAAAGTTTATTGACTAAATATTTTTGACAGGTGTGCAAGCTGCTTACTGGGGAATGCTTGAAGAGGGACGAATAACTCAATCTACAGCAAACATTTTAATGAGATCAGTTGATGAAGCTATGGATCTTGTTTCTAGCCAGCCATTATGCGATTGGAAGGGTTTGCGGTCCAATGTTCAATTCCCAAGTTACTATAGGTTCCTTCAGATGAGCAGGTTGCCACGAAGGCTTGTCACATACTTCACAGTGGAAAGATTGGAGTTGGGATGTTACATTAGTGCGGCATTTCTCCGTGCTCATAGGATTGCGAGGAGACAACTACATGATTTTCTTGGTAATATCTGTGCCACTCTTTAAATGTTGTCCTATGCTAGTTTGATGCCATTCGTTAGGCCTATAAAGTCTTGAAAAATGTACAGAAGTTCATAAGTGGGAAAAGAAAGTGGTACTGATCTTAAGCAGGGTTTACGTTCCTGCAGGTCAACAAGTTATGTCATTTAGTGCTCAAACTGGTGAGGTACTGATTTTGTGATATACCCTTCATCGCAAAATACCTGATATAGCAAGACATGATTGTCCAAATGTTTTGAACTTATTAAGGTTGAACCTGAGTGACTTTACTTTATTTTGCAGTTACTATGAAAAGCCTGTCTGAAGTCCCCTTTTACACTGTTTTGTGGATACTGTAGATTAAAGACCGTAATCCACCTCACCAGTTTTATTTTTCTTGACAATTTTTCTTCTTCAGGTGATAGTGAGATTGCAAAAATTGTCATCGATGAAAGTACTGCTGCGGGGGAAGAAGCCAAAAAGTTCCTGGAAGATGTTCGGATTACATTCCCTCAGGTTGTGGTTCTATCATTTGACCAAAATTAATATGGACTCATTAGGCTCGCAAAATCTTGATAAATTCATTCTACTAGCAAATTTCTCTGCAAAAATTGAGTAGAAAGCACATTTCTCTGAACTAAAATGCTCTAGTTTGGCTTCATGCGTGCCCTTCCTGACCAGCTCGCTGATCCGTAGGGTGGTACAGTTATGTTTTGGGTTTCATTTCTTGGCTCAATCTTTGTTATATTTAAGATTATTTGAATTTCCCCCCTTTCTTTTTTTGTCTTTTGTTCTTTCTCTTTGTTTGGATGCAATACCTTCACAATCTTGGTGGCCTTTTCTAATACAAAATAATGCACACTTAGGTCGATGTTCTAGAAAAAAAATGGGAGTAGTTCATCTTTCAGACACACATGTTCTTGCATGGTACTAAAAGGCTGAGTGGCTGTAAATGGTTTGATGTATAGTTTGGAATGGAGGGATTTGTTAATACATTTTGAAGTTGTCATTTTTTGGGGCGCAAAAATCTTCTGGAACTGATGTTGTACAATGGGCATAGGTCTATCAGGCTTCAGAATACTTCATTTTTAATTCAAACAATTGTTGATAATGAAGAAAAACTTCACTACATGAATAAACTAAGGATTGCCAATATTGATTGAAAAGCATACCCTGGTGATCCTGATAGTTCACTGTTATGGTGCTGCCTAGATTCTCTTATCACTTTCTCCTTTTTGGCGGGGCACTGTTATCTAGATTCTGAAGCTGTTTCCACACTTTGAAGGTACTTCGTGCATTAAAGACTCGACAAGTAACATATGCAGTATGCTCTGCAGGTAGTTAGAATATATTGGTTTGATGTCTTGCCGCGAAGTGAAAGTAAATTAATCTCAGTATAGTAACTCTGGTAAGTTGATTCACTTGGCAGACAGACTTGAAGAAGCTTAAGAGGAACCCGCCGCTGGTGAAAATGCCAAGAGTTAGGGAACTTTTAAACACTCATCCTTTAGTCGGCGCACTGCCTGCTGCTCTTCGTGATCCGTTGTTAAGTAATACAAAGGAAACAATAAAAGGACACGGAACAATTCTTTACGGAGAAGGCTCAAGGCCGACTGGTATATGGCTTGTTTCGACTGGAATAGTAAAGGTATGTTTGCGCCTCCAGACCACTTCATTACATTTTGGTTGAAGTACATATATTTTCCCACCCTGTCTGGTTCAATAATGAATATATACACCCCCTTTGCCTTCTTTTTTGACAGTGGACAAGTCGGAGATTTAGCACCAGGCATTCATTGGATCCAATTTTGTCACATGGGAGCACTTTGGGTCTGTATGAGGCATTAACTGGAAAGCCTTACATTTGTGACATCATTACAGAGTCGGTGGTGCATTGTTTCTTCGTTGAAGCTGATACAATAGAGCAATTGCGCCAGTCGGATCCTTCTATTGAGGATTTCATGTGGCAGGTATCCTCTCATAATGCTGCCTACTTGTGTGCGAATCTTACACATTTCCTGCGATGCCATGCACAATATTCACTTTGTAAGCCTCGAGCGGCAGCTCGAACATGTATGAACTCACAAAACCATCACAACTTGCTTGGACTTATGCTTGTCTTCACCAAATCGCTATCAAGTATTATTATTAACGTTGAACTTCCAATGTGGGACTAACCCACCAGTGAGTGCTCCACTATGTGTGGTGTATCAGTCTTACCTTTTTCACATAATTTATACTATCTGATAGCCCTTAATCATTCTTGTGTGGGAATTACAGGAGAGCGCTCTTGTTATTGCGAGGATTTTTCTCCCTCAGATATTTGAGAAGATGGTAATGCGTGAGATGAGGGTGCTCATTTCTGAAAGATCTAGTACGAACATCTACATTCTGGGGGAAGACATTGAACTCGGGCATAATTACGTAGGCATCTTACTGGAAGGGTTTCTGAAGACAAAGAACCTACATTCTATCATGGCTCCAGCCGTGCTGCTGCCATCAAACACTGATCTGAACTTATTTGGCCTTCAGCCTTCAGGTAGCACTCTAGATTTTCATGGATCGATCAGTGATATATTTTTCTAAAGTATGTGATGACTCAAGTGCCCTCTTGTTTACAGCCGTGAACCACGTAGACTACTGCTATACTGCACCCAGTTATCAGGTGGAAACTAGAGCAAGGGTCATCTTATTTGAGCTAGGGAGGCCGGGGAGAGAAGCCGATCTGCAAAGAAGTGGATCGCTGCTGCCTCCGTCCCTCGGACTGCCACGCACGCAGAGCAAAGAGCATGTCGGTTTGCTGAGGTGGCCCGACAGCTTCAAGAGGTCCAGAGGGCCCGGAAACCCAAGCCTGGCTGACATCAGAGACCAGCCTGGCAGCTACTCTGCCAGAGCCCTGCAAGTCAGCATGTATGGCGGCATGGTAAGCACGAGATCGTTTCGTGTACTTTCTTTTTCGATCTCATGCATGCATGGCTAGCTGCTGTGATTTTCTCGTCATCATTCTCAACGGAAATATATACCGTTCACAGATGGATGATGACATTGGCATGCACCCTGCTCAGCGGCGGCGGCAGCCGAGGCCTGATAATGCGGAAGCAAACCAGAAGCACAGCGCATCATATCCCAAGGTGCCTTCAGGGGCATCCACCACCACCACCACACGGCGTCTGCTCTCTGTAAAGTCGGAGGGTTCCAATGTGATGAACAGGAAACCCGCTCCACCCCTCGCAGAAGGCCAGCGACTGCAACCCAGGGCGGTAGCGGAAGATGGCAACTCGAGCGATGAGTCCACGGGCGAAGAGATTGTTGTAACAGTGGACTCTCCCAGCATGCTCTCTCTACATCCAACGCGCTCCAGCCCGCCGCGAGGCAACTGACCGACACAACCAACCAGCATGCACAGCACCGATACTTCCTTCTTGCGGAATCATAATAATGTTGTATGCATGTATGTGAAATATGTAGATAACGGAGGTTCACATGAATCTGGTATGCTTATTCCACTAGGGTTCTGTGAAATATAATTATGTGGCCTCTCTGTTCTTGATCTGAAAAATGGTGAGCATTTGCGTATTTGCCCGATTCGATGGCCGAACATGTTCCTTTTTTTTAACTCGAGCGATGAGTCCGCTGGCAGTAACTTCCCTTGGTTGGCCCGGTTTCATCAATAATGGTACATCCAGCTTTTGAATGGATGGGCTAATAGTTGGTGTGCAAGCAAATACCATGTCAATGAAGATGTAACTTCCCTTGGTTGGCCCGGTTTCATCAATAATGGTACATCCAGCTTTTGAATGGATGGGCTAATAGGTGGTGTGCAAGCAAATACCATGTCAATGAAGATATGATAGTCTTTGTGCCCCTACTGCATGATCCATGGACCCAACCTAGCTGCCCTTTCTCATTGTCATGAATTACCAACTGATCCTGCATTGTGATGTCTACAAAATAGAAAGATCAAATCACAAAGATGCAATGCATCCTGATTACAGACACCGGGTAATGTGTGTCTAGACTTTGTACCTCCGATTATGTCCAAATTCAGTTTAGAGGCCGACCATTTTTCTGGCACAAACAAATGAGAATATTTCAGCCTTCGTCATTCCAATCAGATATTTGTGGTGCGCTACTAGTAGTCTGTTGGGTTATCAAATGATTACAGTGACAATGAGATAGTTTTCAGGAGCGATCTCCATGACGGTATTCTTCGCAAAGCTCAAGAAAAGTGACTTGTAGTCCTTACTGACTTCAGACAGAGATTTGAACACATTTTGCCCTTTCCAGCAGAGAGGCAGACTAGGGTCCGATACTTGTTTAAGTGACTTGCTGAGACCAGCTTGGAGCTGCAAGATTAACATCTCATTAGTTCAGTATTCCATTCTTCAAATTCACGGCAACTGGAATGTAGTGTGGTTCAAATCTACCACAGAAACAGTCGCTTGGTATGGCTGAGCAGCGAAGTAGGTATAGGTGCTACCGCTATCAAATACCACCTCCATTCGCTTCACACCCAGCGATCGTTTATCTAAGTACAGTATTATGAAAGGTTAGCGTTAATAATAACAGGATATATCTTTTTCTCATCAAGATAAGCATATTTTAAAGTGTCTGACAATTGTTTCAATTCAAACACAAGATCACCTTTAGGTGGAGGAGGACCTCCTAGAGTTTTAATAGGCAAATTGTGTTTAAGCAGAGGTTGTTGTTCGAAAAAGATTCTATCTATTTAATTTCTTTCACGCATAAGCAAATCATTTTCATAGTCTAGCAAATATTGTTCCAAAAGATTAGTAGGAGGTACAACAATAGAAGCAAGACCAATAATTTCATCCTTACTAGGTAAATCTTTCTTATGAGGTTGTCTACTAAACTTGGAAAAATTAAATCCATGAGATTCATCACCAAAGCTAACACCGACAGTTTGTTTCTCACAATTTATTTTGGCATTGACGGTGTTCAAGAAAGGTCTACCAAAAATAATGGGACAAAAGTCATCTTGTGAGGAGTTAAGAACAAGAAAATCAGTAGGGTATTTTATTTTCCCACACAAGACTTCAACATCTCTAAGAATTTATCAGAGATTTAATATTTGAATATAAGACTCATAGAATTATAGTACTGTTTATCATCAACGTTGGTCAGAAAATAACAATACCATATTTTAATTTTAAAAGAAATATCTTTCTTTTGCCATAGCGGAAACTATCTAAATATGATTTCACCCACAGGCAAAAACATTGCTAAGAACAGTTCTTCCAATTAAATGTCCCTGTTGGTTCCAATTTAATTGGAGGATAAAACTTTTAACTTGCAGTGGAAACTTTACAATATTCTATTCAGAAACAAATTTTTTACTCTTTTACTCTCTAAGAAATTTTAACCGGTTGGTTCAAAATTGCATTAGAAAAGCACCAATTTAATCTTTCACTTTAGTTTTATTCACTTTTAAAAAGAGCACTTTATTTATTTTTCAGCAAAAAACATGAATAAAAAATCCCGCGGCTGCTGGGCTCGGCCCAGCACGCGTGGCTGCGCCCGCCACTGCTGCCTCCTCTTCTTCCGGCCCAATAGCCCACGCCGGCAGTTAGGGTTTCGTCCCTGCCGTCCGATACGATCCGACGGCAGGCGCGCGTTTCGCTGGATCAAAATCTCCCGATCAAATACTCCCGACCGAAAACCCTAGCCATTTCGTTTCTTCGCTGCCCTTGCGTCTCTCTGCCGCAGCAGCGCAACCGCGGGTCTGGCCGCGCCGACTGTCGGCGACGGCGTCGAGCGGCCAGTGCACAGCGTCCGGCCGCCGGCTCTTTCTCCTCCCCCTCCCTTTCTTCCTGCTTTTCTCCACCGCATCCATGAGAGAGAGAGAGAGACTTGAGAAGATCCCTCCTCTACTCCCTTGCGTGTTGAACGACCATGGCAGCGGCGGAGCACCAGGCGGCGGCGGCCGTTGCCATCCCCTTCGCCGGTGGCGCGTTCTCCTTGTGGTGAGCACGCTGTCGTCGAACGGTGTGGTGAGCGGCGCCCTTTGCCCCTCTGGGGGGGTTAGTTCTTCTTCGTGCTCGCCTCGGCTTGCCAATGTGCGACGAGATCGAGAGGAACAGCGTGGCCACGATGGGGGCGCTCTTTGCCGGTGGGCCCAAGGCCCTGCTCCGGTGAGATCCTAGGATCTTTCTTTGCTCTGTTTAGGGTTCTTGGGGAGGGGATTTCTTTTGCGGGATTAAAAACTCACGTTTCCTCTTCTACCGAAAAATCTAAGACCTAGCAGGCTCACTAATACCATTGATAATTTCTTTGGATCGGAGTAGGCTGGGTTAGATAGGTAGTCCTACCTTCTCCTTGGCTCGAGGAGCTCGAGCCGGTGCCGGCCATGATGAAGTAGTGGGCGGTGATGGCAGAAAGATGGCGAGGTGGTGGCTGGTGGTGCTTCCCTCGCTTCAGCGCCTCCCTCTCGATCGGACTAGGGTTTAGGAGTGGGGAACAGTGGTGGTGGCGAAACTCGTACCTTGTGCCGTGGTCCCCACCTCCTGTATATGGCACTGCACGACAGGGGCCCACCAGCCTTGCTTGCGCTGGACGCCCCCGATCAGGGCGTGGGTCAAGGGTCCAATTAATGGGCCATTGAGCCCATTGGGGAAGAGATCAATCTAACACGAAGCTCGCGATTTTTTTTCTCAGCAAAAGACTGGGCGAGCTACAATGCAAAAGAATACCAACATTTGATTTTTTTGGGGCTCATGGACTGACTTCCATAGAACGAAATGCTACAAAGCTGGACGGGCCATGGCCCATGCAGCCTTGTTGTAGCTCCGCCACTACTTGGACCCTTAGCGCGACCGCGTCTAGTTTGTGTTCTGTCGTTTTTTTAATCCACATATTCAATAAGGTGGTCATCCAGTTTTTTTGTCATGACTTTCATGAATGCTATTTTGTGATGAAATTTTGCACGCATTTTAAACACTTGTCAAATGCTGCCACAAAAAAAAAATCAGAGTTTTCCGTTTTTTTTCTTATATATTTTGGATCTCACTGTTCACCGAGCCCATATGAGGTCGAGCTCAGTTTATCGGCTTCCGGGCCAGATGAACTATTTATATCAGCTTTCTATATTTGCTTGTGATTTTGTTGTTGTTGATTTCTCATCTCATCACATAAAATATGGTAGATCCATTTTTTTTAACGAAAAACAGGAGGATAAGTTTGTCTGCCGTAGCAGTGACACGAGTGCCCCACGAAAAAGAAGAACGGCAGTACATCATATATTCACGACCATAAACACAGCAATACGGCCGGCCGGACGGATGGATCGTTCGAACGTAGAGTAGGTAGGTACGTATATACGTACGTAGGTAGGTAATATGCTCGATCACTCATTATGTATTCCACTCGATGGATGGATGGATCGGTCGCGATTAATTTATGGAGTACTTTACACGTCGGCCGGCGCCGGCGAGCTGTCGACGGGGACGGTGTGCCTTGAGCGGCTGCCCGACGCCGCCCTCCGGCCGCCCTCGCGCACGCTGTTCTCGGCGAAACGCTTGGTGGCAGCGTTGTACCCCTTCTCCCGCTCCTCGGCGGTCCACTCCCCGTTGTAGTAGTCGTCGGCGGTGGCCCCCTTCCTTGGCCCGGCGAGCATGCCGCCCCACTGCGGGAAGTAGATGAAGGCGACGGGCAGCGTGCATGCGAGGATCATGATACCCATGTACATGATCCCCGTCTCCGTCTTGTACTTGCCGCCCCTGAAGAAGATGACCTGCGTGAGCACGGCGCCCACGTTGCCGCCGCCGCCGGTCATGCCGGAGATGAGCCCCAGCGACCTGCGCGACACGAAGGGCACGATGCCAAAGGTGAGGCCGCACGCGGCCTGGCAGAAGAGGGAGAAGAGTATCATGACGGCCACGGAGGCGCCGAAGGAGTAGTCGACGATGCCCAGCACGACGCAGAGGACGCCGCCAATGGTCTGCATCACCCACAACCCCCACAGCCTGCCGCGCATGCCGTAGCGCTGGGACAGCCAGTCGGACATGAGCCCGCCGCCTGGGCGGGACACGATGTTGGCCAGCCCGAAGGTGGCGGCGATGAGGCCGGCGGTTTTGAGGTTGACGTCGAAGCGGTCGTAGAAGTACTCGGCGACGATGTTGTCCACGGCGAGCTCCACGCCGAAGCTGTAGCCGTAGGTGAGCGCCAGGATCCAGGCGCGGTAGTTGGTGACCGCGTGGCGCAGCACGTTGCCGAAGCTGTCCTTGTGCATCTCCCCGCTCTTGTGCAGCTTCCGGTAGTTGCCGTCCGGCATGTCCTGCCCGAGCGCCAGCACCGCGATGGCCGACACCGTCTGCATGATGCCCGGGATGAAGAAGGCCACGCGCCACGCCACGAACTTGGT